AATATTTTTAATATAAGAATGAAACCAAATAGATTTATTGGTCCAACCTGTGTAAATTTATTTCAAACTGTGAATACATTTAAATTTCTTTAGAAACAAAAATCCACTTAAATCGGTTTGAAAAAAGTTTTTTTTTACAAACTTCTTCAAATAGTTGCCCTCCTCACATCATTCTGCGCTTTTTTCAATGTTTGGGATCTTTTATCAAGGACGTAAATTAATTCGCTAGACCCCTCTTGTCAGATACGTAGTTAGTTCGTTTACCAGAGCTCACCAGACAGTGAACATGAAACATGTCAGGTACTGCATCTGTTTGTTTTGAAGTTTATGGTTGGGATTTAACACATAAAAATTTATTTATATCATAGTTTCACCTATGTCATGTAATTATCTTCTCTTTTTTTTCAGTTATGTCATGCCTGTAAAGCAGGAACAACGTGTATGGAACAATCTATCATTATATATTCTCCGATTCTACGTGTTAGCTTATTGCATTGCATGAATGTGTGTGATAGGACCCTGTCATTATAATGTATCGCCACTATAAGAACCAGTTACCAAAGCTTTGAGCTTTTCTCTAACTAAAAATAAGCGATTGTAAAACATATCGTACACATAAAATCGGAGAAGCACGACCTCACTATGAGATGCATATATTCCGCTTTTTCGCTTCCTCATTACGCTCCAAGTATATAGAATGTATATAGTAATATAATATGCGAAATATATAATAGTATCTCCTCCAAATATCAGTATTAGTTGCCCGAATCTGTCCGACAATAGGCATTCTGTTTTCTGCTCTATTGACTGAGACTTCTCTATAAGCAGATGCTTTCTCCCGGAGTGATGTAATTTGTGCATGACTCATGACCAACCACAAGAAAGAAAACAGTACATCGTTGATGAATAACTGCAACTAGAAGCTTTCTGAGAAAAGTCAACGATATGAAACGATATGACAGAAACCTTGTCTACAAGGTGTATTTTAAATAACATTTCATGTCCCAACATCATTCTACCTGATCTGGACCACTTTCTTGTGTCTAATTCACTGATCTAAATGTCACTGGTATAAAAAAGCGGAATATATGCGGACACTAAAGGTATCGCGCGCTCCGTTTCTTCGACTTATAAATGTGGTACTTTTCTTTTCTATATTCGTTTCTACTAGTGATGGGACGAGAGTCAGTTTGCTTACTAATCGGTCTGCAAAAGTTGAAGTGGTTTTTCTTATCGACAAAAAAAATTTGTGAAATCTTATAAGAATCTTATAAAAATCTTACTCAATTCTTTCAATTCCACAATTAATAATAAATTAATAAATAATAAATAATAAATTTTATGTTGCTGTAGGAACCAGCCAATGAGGGATGACTCGGAGGGAGAGCTATTTTCTGGATTTCAAGTGATCGTTCGTACGATGAAAGTGCTTTCGAGTACTCGCACATGCTATTATACACCGAACCGATGTTGTTGTAGGAAGCAGCCAATGAGGGATGATTCGGAGGGAGAGCTATTTTCAACATTTCAAGTGATCGTTCGTACGATGAAAGTGCTTTCGAGTACTCGCCCATGCTATCATACACCATACCGATGTTGTTGTAGGAAGCAGCCAAGTCGGGATGATTCGCAGGGAGAGTGTTTTCTGTGATAGCGAGGGATTTTTCGTATAAGTCAGCCGCCATGCGATATTCTCCTTGATTATGCTTGATGATTCCAAGTTGGTCGTAACACTTATATTTATCACTGTCATCGGTGGCATTGTCCAGTAACATTGTATAGACTTGTTCGGCTTTATTGTTCTCCCCCCATTGTCCATAGCAGCGAACCCATTCGTTGCCATCCTGTTCCAGTGATTTTGTCTCGGATATGTTGGGTAAGTGCATTGAGCTGTTGATCATCATTATGACTGGTGAGTGTTAGTTTTGCTTATTGTAGCTTTATGCCATTCTCTTCGATGTGTTTGATTTGTTGAACACGAAAAACAGTATGCATTGAAAAAAGAATTTCACTTTCTGTTGGGAAAAAACTAATTCCATGTATTGCGGCGAATGGCGCCGATGAAATCGATCGCACAATTGTCATTTCGAACAGAACACCTATTTTGTTTTTGTTGTTTGATTGTAGTGCATCTGTTATAAAACGTGTGGCTACTTTCTGATCATCACTTGTGGATAAGAAGTTATTGAATGAAATAAGTCCATCTGGTTTAATTTTGTTTTCGAAATCCTGCTTGCTCATAGTTTTGCCCCGATAGACTGTAATTGTTGTTGTTGTAGGTGGGTTATTTGATTGTTCGAAATGAAGTTTGGTAATATTCTGGTGAAGATCACGAATGAAGACACCCATACTGAGCAGAGTTTCAACTGAAGACTTCCTAGGGCTTTGTTCAGCATGTGGTATGTGAAACATTCACGTGTATACCACCAAATAGCTTTGTTCTCGTTTGAATCATTTTGATAATCTCGGGCAAATTCATCGATCATCATTAGATGTTCATCGTTGCCGGTATACTTTTCGCGGGCGTATTCAGCTAGTGTATTGATTTCTTTGTTTTTATCAAATTCGATTTCACGAAGGATTTCTTTAAATAGTTGCGTGTACATAAATGACGGTTCAATTTGATTTAATGATGACACAGCACTAATCGTGACCAAATCTTCATCACATTGTCGAGCCGATTGTCGAACTGAGTCACAAACTGAAGTAATTTCCGTGACAATACTTTTCACTTTAGACCAATCGTTTGCCCATTCTTGGTACTTCGATGGTTTTCGACAAAATATATAGATTGAGTAGATTTGATCGAGCTGATGAATATTTGGTACAATAGTTTGACATAGAGCACCAGAAATAATGAGAAAGACTTTTTTATTTTCAAGTTTCGTTATATAATTGATGCATTCGTCGGTATCTTGAAATGTTTCAATAGTATTAACTGTGCGACGTATCATTGAATTACGAAAATCATCAGTAGATTCATCGATATATGCATCTAGCCAAACCAACAGAAAATTTTGAATAAGTTCTTGTGGTTCAATCACGTTTTACAATCTCCAAATTTTTTGGTGGTGCCGTCGGTGGTGATGATGAAGTCGTGAGATGATGAGCATTGAGAGAACTAACTGTTGGCACCGAAGCACTGCAACCCATCGTTTGCGTACTTTTGAAAGATCTGAGTATGGATGTTGGTTGTCAGAAGTGAAATTCCCCAAGCGAAGACAGAAAGAGAGGGGTGTGAGAGACTTATATTTCCTCTACTTATAAGTCTTTGACAGATACGTGTGCTTTATAATACGTAGTGTATGTATATTATACTTTTATTTTGACCACTCTTTAAAAAAAAATTACAACCTACTGACACTAAAAACTCATATATCTGCTACATGCCGAAAGATAAGAACAAAACGAAAAAGAAAAAGAAAAAGAACATCAGAAATATCGAAAAGGAAAGAACGGAGCGGACCAAAGCAAAATACCCATCTGCAGAGATAAACTGTACATTGGATGTAGACGTTGTGAACAATAATCGTCACAAGGGGTCCTTTGCTGAAACGAAAATTTGTTTCGCCGTCGATTTTTCTTTCTCCGGCAGCAATACGTATGGTATTTATTGACGCTCAACGGTATTGTTGTTGGTTGATTGCCTAACTTCAATAGAAACAAAAGGACGATGAACTCTTGCTTCTACTTACTGTTGCCAACTTTTTTTTGTTTATCGTTCAATGTGCAATCGAGTCAGTATTGAAGCAGTAGGTAGAATCGCATTGAGTCTATACATAAGTGTCTTTCAGAGAGAAAAAGAAACTTTTCTTACAACGAAACAATTCAACAGTTTTTCTTTCTCTCTTTCTCACAGACTGGCCTCTGCTATTTCATTTTACGCGCGCTTAATCACCTATTTTTTTCGATCATATAAACTGATTGACATTCACGACGGACGGAACTGTAGTACTCGCCCATGTTATCATACACCATACCGATGTTGTTGTAGGAACCAGCCAATGAGGGATGACTCGGAGGGAGAGCTATTTTCCGTTTCGCGTACACGCCCATTCTTTATCTAATTTGATATTCTGTTTAAAAAAAAACAAAGTGTCAAACGGACACTTGCTTGCTGAGGAAAATTTACATTTTGTTTGCGTTTCATTCTTTAGAAACTTCGAATTTATCAATGTTTTTCTTATTAATAGAGAGAAAGTTTTTTTTGTTTCCGTGAATACATTAATTAAATAAAGTACGTGTGTCTGTTGTTAGAATATTTCTTTTTCTAACATATCATCTGTGAAATAGCTGATTTTTTTAACGCTTGTTTTTATATAATTTAATCACATTCAAAATCACATTCACTCTAGCTAGTTTTTGATAAAAAAACAAACGTGGAGAAGGAAGGATGCAATCTAGAACTTACAACAACATCTAAAGCACATTTTACGAATTAATCTTCATGTCTCATTTTTTCTCTAGTGTCTCCACACCCAAAACCTGACAAAAAAAAGAAAATCAACTGACTATTCAACTTGGGCATTAAGATAGACTGTTTTTCAAAAAGGGTAGAGAGTCTAGCTGTTAAGCTATTTGTTTTGCAATTTGAGTGTCTGGCTGAACAAAACACAGCATCCTTCTGCATATATATTATATATTGGAGCAAATTAAATGTTGATGATCAATTCATTGTTTGACTACCATAACTTTCGGGCCTGCTCTTCGGGTCACAGTGGCAAATCTTAGCTTGCATTAATTTAAAATTATTTAAAAGCTCCAGTGGGTACTGATACTACATATCATTTCATGACTGGATTATTGTTTGGTGTGCAGTTGGCAAAGTCGGAATCCACTTTCTCTAAATATCTGTTTCTACGAGATTTAGCCTATTATTGTTATTGTTGTCATACTCATCCGATCTTGAAGCGGAGTGATGGATATGTGGTTCAACGTTGCGAAAGTTCTTCCATGTGCAAGAATACCAAATAGGCGACCTTATTTCACATACAGGATGATAACACATAATTTTCAATAACAGTGTCAGGACTTGGAGCGTTTTACTTCAGACTAAAGGAACTGACATATTAGCCGTAACTATCCATATATTCTGTAATTTTAAGCGGAGCTAGTTTCCGCTAAAATTTGATCGAACAGCCGTATAGCAGCGATACATTATACCGGTAGGACCCCATCAGATACAATTGTGGAATAAACTAACAGTCCCATGACCGCGGTGTGTACAAGTTGAAATAGGAGATCCACCTTTTTTAATATTTCCGGAAAACGATCAACTATGTTACTGACAAAGCGATATTTTACCCTCGATGCGTTGAGAACACGCACGTTTTCATGCTTAAGAATAGAAGTTTTAATACCGTCATATGGTGAATGTCGTATATCGACACTTAATCTTAGTTGAGCAGATTACATACAAAGTGTTAAACTGTAGCTTCACTCTTCTCTTTCCAGTTACTTTAGTGCACTTGTATAATTAGTGTTATAATTAGAAAAATGGACTCGATCGAAATTCACAGAACTTACGAGGAAACCGTTTCAACCAATAAATCGTTTTTGTAACGAAAGCTACTGGATTATAGGTTATCGACCATGCTGATTCCGTATACGACCATAAAGGTTCCCTTTAGCCCTTCGAAGACCCGATATTCTGGAAAATCAGTTTTTCAGAAACGCTAAAAAGTAACCAAAACCTTTCTTAATAAGGCATGATTGTAGCCCGCAAATTTCTGACTAAATTGAGACATCTCCTAGCTCTACACGACCTTTCTTTGCAAAGTTATAGAATTTACAAGAAAAGCCCTAAATTAAGAGCCACTGTCCAAGAAAGTCAGGCAGGCAGGTACGGATACCGACAGTGTCAGATTTGGCCAATTTTTGGACTTTGGAAGTGCTCCCTTCAAGATAGATGTCGCAAGTCAAGGCAGTCGATGGAGTGAAAAATGCGAGTTTTCCAATAAAATTGATTTTCTCCCAAAGTTTACGTCAGAACAGATTAAAATTTTTACCACAAACACATCTGATGCCGGACTACTCGTGCTGGTTTCGCAACGTGGGTATCGGTGTTTAATTTTTCACCAATTTCTTGCAATAACAACTTTCGGAAACAACGCTATGGATTCTAGACCAATTTTTTATGCTGATTCCGAAAACAGGCTCAAAATTCTTGATAAATGTTATCAAAACAAGATCTACCTGGAGGTTTCCTAGAAACCTCTTAGAAAGCCAAAAAGTTCTTAAACTAATTTTTCATTTAACAGTCGGATAGAGCATCTAATTCCGGTCAAATTGAGACCCCTGCGGTATTTCTACGAGGTTCCTGAGCTGAGATACGGGATATTTAGCCTCAGGGGTTTTTGCAGCATTTTTCGCTAGGACAAAATTTCTGATTGAAATAGCCAACAAAAACAGATATCAACTGCAAAAAGTACGAGTAGAATGATCTTCATAGTACGTTAAAAGAAGTGACTTGTATCTACAACGATCGTTCTTTTCTTTTGTATGTTTTGTGTTTTATGTGTAAATGTCTTTTCTTTGCTCTCTTCTTATTTTACAGTATTCCTGTTGATCGGCATCCATAGAGGTAAGCACGTAATGATCTAGACAATGTACAGCGGAAATTTCGCGAAAATTTTATGACTTATAAGAAAAGGTGTTGCCAGACCTAGCGTTAATAATCTTCAACTAAGATAAAGTGTAGATATACGACATTCGACTATATAATGGTATTAAAACTTGTATTCTTGAGCATGAAAACGTGCGTGTTCTCAACGCATCGAGGGTAAAATATCGCTCTGTCAGCAACATAATTGATCGTTTTCCGGAAATATTAGAAAAGGTGGATCTCGTATTTCAACTTGTACACACCGCGCACAGTGGGCATTTTTTGCTAGAGCAGGCGGACTTTAGCTTTATGAGTGAACTAAAATTTCATGAGCCTTTTCTGTATAGGTTTTTCATAATCCTCTTTCTAATGGCATGAGAGCTGGGTTTTGAAAAAGTTTTCTAAGGAGTTTTCTAGAAAACCGCTGAAAACTGCAAAAACCTCTTGTGGTTTTGTAAAATCTCTAAAAGCTCCTACTAAAATTCCCGAAATTTCCCGACTTTAGCATGAATAGAGTTTCGTCTTAGGAACATTTTGAGGTATAAATATGTGACTTTCGAGTGGGGCTAACGAGGGCGATTGGACTATACTGAGGTGCACTCATTGAAGTATGCTGTAATGCTGAATAACGACATGTTTTCCTTGCGTATAAGCTTTAAAATAAAAACTTCTCAGCATCACCACACAGCTGAAGTTCTATTGATCCCAAACATGTGCTTTCAAAACAATAAATTGCGCCGAGTGGACGAGAATCCGGCATTATGTACGTACAGCTGTGACATCCATTTGGTCTCTTTATCTTTTTCTAGATCCTTGTTTCTCCACATCGGTTAAGGTTTCAGCAAACATTGATATACCATTAGATAGCCCTTTTATTGAAGTATATTTACCAGAAATAAAAATGTAAAACTGTTTCCTTTCACTTTTTCACCTAATGTCCGCCTGGATGCCCACTGTGCCGCGGTCATTGGACTGTTAGTTTATTCTAATGCGGAAGAAATTTCAAAACATAGAGAAAAGGGAATCAAATTGTGATACGGGAAGGGAGGAAGAAAGACAATTGCTCTGGTTTACAACTATTTTATTAACTTGTTCTTCTATATCATCGAAAAACGTTTTATCAGATTCAGAAGAAGGAAGAAAGGATTGTTACAGAGATTCGCCAAGTAGATTGGCTTTCTCAGTGTTATCTGTTATGAACTTATTGTTGTTATTTTTCAGTTCTTTTATTTCTGTTGTTGAAATTGGATCCATACATTTACGGATTCGTTTCCAAAATGACAGATCATTCGGATTATTAGTCTCTGAACAGAATTTGCGCCAACTCAGTTCTTTCACCACGGACATCTCTCTACGTATGATATTATCCAGCCGACGTACCTGAACTTTATATTCAAGCAGCCTGGTTTTTGATATTTTCGGAAAACTTTCCTTTTTCTCGGATTAAACTGTGTATAAATGCTGGTATGGCTATACGATATTTTGATATAGAGAGTTAGATACGATGGAAAGCTCACGCTTAAAAACATCCCAATCAGTATGTTTCACT